AGGCTTCGGCCTGACGACAGTTCTCCATGAATGGCATTGCTTAGGGACCATCAGTCAATTCCTTGGCATAGAGGTGAGCTTATGCTGTGCTAACAAACAAACCCAAAATTCCTCAGTGGCTTAAAGCAACAAGTTACTTCTCAGTAATGCATCACATCTGTTTCGGTTCAACTGAAGAGCTTTGCTTCTTCATCCTTAGTTCAGGATCCATTTCCCAGTAATGACCCAGATAGCAGAGCAGCCATTATCTGGGACATTCCTGGGAAAGAGAGCATAGTGTGCCACATGAACATTTTTTAAGCTTCTGCTGAGATATACCACACCTCACTTCTCCTATTTCATTAACCAAAGCAAGTCACGTGGTCACACCTAACATGAATCTTAGTTTACCAAAATAAAAAGCCGGAAAGACTTGGTGAATAGAAAAACTGACTACTTAATGCACTAGAGAGATATGGACAAAGCAATGCAATGCAGACAAACCCTTCTCTATTATGTAATTTTTGTATTTCCTACTGATAGCTAAAATGTATTCAGCACTTATTATGTGCAATGGACTGCAGTAAGGACAGACAAGTACTATTTAAGATTACAACAACTCTATAATAGATATTCTTATCATGACCACTTTACAGATGAGTAAACTAAGACTAAAAGGAAGTAAAGTAGTTTTCCCAAGCTCACATAGCTCGGAGCAAGCTTTTGAGTTGTGATTTCGTAGCTCCAGAGCTAGCCTACTGACAGAGCAGCCAGTTTGCTCAAGACTAAGAGGTTTCCTGAGGGATTTTCAATGCCAAATCCAAGACCATCCTGAGCATTACGGGTGCTAATCGTATTACTGGCTTATTGATCAGATTAGGAAAGAGCTCTGAAATCTGCTAATCCCTATACATAATAACAACACAGCATAATTCATGCTCTCCAGAAAAATCATTCCAAGTTTCATGCTTTTATTTTGATTTGTGTCTATTTGTTGGGTTATTGTAGTGGTGATGATAGTTTCATGTCATCATGAATATGCCTAAGAATCTCCCACCAAGATATCCTCAGTGGCATGTATTCATTTCACCCAGGCTTCCATGGACCACATAGACTTGCAGACCAGAAATACTGTGGCCTTGGGGATTATCACAATGTGACTGATTCTATCCAGATTTCCCCATCCTGTCCTCTGCTTCCCTGGAAGTCCCAACTGACTCACATCCTTCTTTAACAATCGTTTCCACTTTTATGCAGCCACTGTCATTGCTATCAATTCTCCTACAGCTGCCAGAATTGAAGCCTAATGACACAATTCTGTTTATTGACCAGTCCCTACATATCAAGCAATAGGCTGGGTCCATTACATATTGTTTCATGTCATCCTTGACTAATCAAGTTGGGTTATTAACCTTCTGACATACTCAAATAGTTCACTCTACTTTTGACAAGAGCTTCTCTTCCTTTCCAGACCTAGTGATTGCCTGTTTTCTTGCTTTATACCTCATGTATCCACCATGAGAATAAGGCTATGTTTTAAGCCATCATTCTATTCTCAACAATCCCTCTTTCTCCCTTTAGCACAAAGCAGGACACTCAGAGGCAGCCCTCCTAGAGGCAGTCTTCTAAGAACAGCCCGACACTGAACCAAACTACCTGACCTCAAATCTTGACTCTGTTACCTGATAGCTATGGAACCCTGGACAAGTTTCCTAACCTCTTCATGCAAACATTTCCTCATCTGCAAAATAGGTGTAATAATAGTACCTACCTCGCAGGGTTGTTGTGAAGATTAAATGTATTACCAAACATAAAGCATTAAAACAGAACCTGGCATTGGACTTAAGCACTTTCAGGATGCAGGACTTTCAGTGCTGAAACTAGGAAAGTCCCAGGCAAAGCAGGGCACATTGGTAACTCTACCTAGCACATAGTAAGAGATATTTCTATGTAAGCTTTTGTTGAAGATGTAGTTGGTGATACATGGAAAGATAGTACCCTCTTTTGAACCATAACTAGATTATCACACATCTCCAATTTCTGTTTCTTTTCAGAATCATGTCATCTGAGCGAGCAGGATGCATACATACCTCCTAAAACAAGCACCCAGCTTATGGGCTCTTTTGTCTTCAAACAGATCATCCTAAGCAGAGGCCTAAATCATCTCTGGTCCATCTCTTCCAAGGTTTTTACTTTAGAATCGTAGGCTCACATCTCATTCATTTATTTACTCTTAAGGTCTGCTTACAAGAAGCAAAAATGGGGCTTTCTTCTTATTGGCTCATTTGCTTGATCTTGTTTGATGGGGCAAATTTTTGTAACACTAGGAGGTAAAACATTATCACTATCAACAGTGCCCAATATTATTTGGCTTTCCTATCAAGGTGCTTGCTGTGCACAAACAAATGGCATTTGTTCACTTATCCTCAGCTCTCACAACTACATAATCACTAACAGAATGTTAAATACATCTCTGATGTACTGGCCCAAGCTTACATAGGTATGTACACGGTCAACACAATTAAAAAGTAATATAAATTTTCACAAGTACAACTTGTGCATTTTGGACTTGTAATTCCAAAATGATGTTCCCACTTTGGATGGAGATGACTGGGTATAGAAGAAAAAATCGAAATTTAGTGCTAGATAACTCCCAAGTCTATACTAGTTCAAAGAGATCTTAAATTACTTAAACATTTTGAGTCTGTTTCCTCATCTGAACAACATGAATAATATCTGCTTTATAGGGCTTTGCGAAAATTAATTGAAACTAATGCATATGAATCACCCAGCTTACTCCTTTTCAATTTTAAATCTAAGTTATGCTGGGGTGGGAGAAGAGGCACATAGCCAATCCAGAGAAGATGATGTCACACAAAATACTTGAAATTGCTTGTACCACATCTTATAAGTTTCTAAACACAAAAATTCACTCCAAGTCAAGCTTGGTGAATAAAGTGCCCCAACAAGGCAACACCATCTGTAACAAAAATGTAATTCTAAAGAGACAAGGAGGCGCAGATGAAAAATTAACTCTGAGGCAATTGCAAAAGAGGAGTTTCCAAAACATTTTGAGAAATGGTAGAATTTTTCATATTCGTTCATAGCTTCCCAAGGTGACTCCCTGAAACAGCAACCCCAACCTGAATGGTTGCATCTACGTTCATTTGTTTAAATCACATTTATTTTCATTTCTCTTACATAATTAAAATTAATCCTGATTTCAAGCATCAGTTTAGATATTCTAGTCGCTGTTTATGCTTGAAAGCACCTTGACATGTCATAAACCAAAGTTGAAAATAATCTCTTGTTATGCAAACCTTAGGGTTTGTGTAAGAAGGAATAAAGTTGGTACTAGACATATGGTACTCCTGCAGATGGCCACATGGAGGACAGATTTCCACTGCCAGACTGTAGAATAGATTTGTGTTTCCAGTCCTACCATTTAGGATAAAACATCCGCATACATTGGTTTTAAATCTTTTGATTTCAGCATGATTCAATAATATATTTGCATTAATATCTATTCACTTTGCTGTGAACTCTTGGCCCCAATGTGCATTATCAGAAGAAGTAAGACATGTTCCCCAGTTCTCTGATTTCTCAAAGTAAGAGGCTTTTCTACTAGTACTGACTGCCATAACTGTCTCAAAGAAAAAAAATATAGCCCCGGCCACAAAGTTAAATTATAGGAGAAATTTTTTTAAGTTAGGTTTGCTGATTTAGGAGGCCCTTGGTGAGCTTTCAGACCTCAATTAAGGCTGTGATTTGAGAAAAAGAAAATGAATTTTCCAAGCAATTAGGTGGTAATAGATCTAATGGCTTTGGGGGGAAAGAAATGGGTATATTTAACTTTGACAAGTAACTGCCATGCATGTGTTATATAACCTCTTTTGATAAGTCTTTTTGCTCCACAGACCAAATACCTTTTTTAATTATCTGAAAACGTCTTTCACAGGGAATTCTAAAGAGTAACAGCCTCAAAGCAGACAGGCATCCTGCCCTACTGAGTCAATAGCACTCACTTTTCTGAAAACACCTCACATTAATTTCATAATACTCATTTTAAAAGTTCTAAAAATATGTGCTTACTGATAAACCATATGGTCTCAGAAGGATATTTTACAAGAAAATGTGTCAGCTTTCATAAACTTCCACAGGGGACCCTTTTCCTTATGAAAGAAAAAAACCTGACATTGAAAACACAGTGGAATTTGAACATGAAAAGACTTTTTAGCAGCATGAAACAGTAATAGAATGCAACAAAATCAGTATATTTCATATTAAAGTAAGGCCCTGACTTCAGCTCATTTGTGGGACAAAAGAACATACCACAGGTTACAGTGATGTAGCACAGGTATTCAAAATAAATGGAGGGTTAGATGCCTCATTTATTTGTTATTAAAGGATAGGCAAAAGTTGATTCATCTAAAAACAGAGCTGCTTTTCTGTGCCTTATTCCATAGGAAAAAAACCTATTTTAAGCTTTTTGGTTTATAGTGTGCTATGTTCTTGATTATTTAACTCTACTTTTTTTCTTTACCAATCCTTCAGAGAACCAAAATGTGTCCTATAAAATCTTACAAGGGAGGAAATTCTTCATCCAGCTGCTGTGTATGAACAGGAAGTTTGGTTGTTTTCCTCTCTCAGGCTCCAGAAGGCTGACCTCTGACCTACAGGACAACAAAATACTTGGCTTTGGGTGACCATAAATATTTCCAGCTAATGACTGAATGGGAATTCCCTAAAAGATGGCATACAAAATTAAAACAAGTCACAGTCAACCTAAAACTTGGCTGGAAACAAAAGAACTTGAATATCCTCATTGCTGGCATTAGAATAATGAATTCTGCAGGCATACCTTCAATTAATCAATGAGGGATGAATGCCACGGTAGCCAAGCGAGTCCCACCAATGATGAATATGGATTTCTAAAGCCGAATCATTCAGGAGGTGATCTATAGTGTTTATTCAGATGACAAAACCAACAGGTCAGTTCCACTGCTAACCTGATCTCTTACCTGGTAAGATCCGAAGGGTGTTTGCTATTGTCTGATTGAAGAGTAATGATATTGAAGCAGCTCTTCTAACCCCCAGGAACCCTCTGTTTCCCAGAGCAGAACTGAGGAAGAGAAACAGAAGGTACACTCAGATTGAAGAAAGCTAAAAGAGGACAATTGTGCCACAGGATTAAGCTGAAGAGAGCAGCACCAGGTCACAGAGCCACAGTAACATAAGGTTGAGCTAAAAGCAAAAACACCTAGAAAAATAATAGTAATAATAACAACTGACATGTATAGAGCATGAATATTTGTCAGAAATTATGCTTATCTCAGTGAATCTTGACAACAACCTTCTGAGATGGGTTCTATCCCTGTTTTAGGGAGAAAAAACTGAGACTCAGAGAGAAAGCAGTAGAACAGGAATTAAATCCAGGCAACCTGACTTCAGAGTCCATGCTTTTGCCGAAAACTATAGAGGGCACCAACTAGAAGTGAGGAAATAGCCAACATGAGAATGAAACTGAAATGAATCAGGGAAGCAGCGAGGAGGTACAAATGGAGTCAGATGGGAAATATTCAAGGTACAGAGCCCAAAGCCAGGATGAGCAGGTGGGTGTGTGATGTGACTTTTAAAGCCTGTGCTCGCCTTGTCCAGAACCTATGATCTGTTTATCTATAAGTATTTGCAATTATACGCCACCATCAGGCAGGTATTACTGGACATAGCCATCTTGGTAAGTACAGATAATTCAAACACAAATTCTGCAAGTCAAATAGAATTCTTTCATTTCTCCTCACTTTTTTGTGTTTTTTTTTTAATATTCTTTTTCTCTCCTCACTTCTAGAAAAAAAATTATTATTTTGTAATTTATTTGAAAATCTCACCGGAAAAGAGTATATCGTGTATTTTATTTGAGGAGCTCAAAACATTTTATGAGCACTCTCCCCATAGCCACTGTAAAAATAAACAAATAATAGTGCTTATTATTCAGTGCCCCAAAGCTATGGTTAGAGTACTAGAAAAGAATACAGTGTCTTTTTATGGCCCTGTGGGGTATTCTGCACTTTCACCTGGGGTAAAGAGAAGACTATGATTTAGAAATTGGAATTTCTCTGATTGTCTCATAGAAATTACACATACGTAGGAATGAGGGAGTCGGTGGCAAAGCCTATGGGGCATACCAGGTTGTTTTGCCTGAGTTGATTTGTTAAATAATTGGAGCATGTATCATATAAAGTCTTTCACTCATTTTGCCATGCTGATAAATAGCCAGCTTCAATCTTCAGTATCTTTAAATGGTCGCCATTATATTATAATGTCCTCAGTGGAGCGATGCATTTCTGCTTACACTTCTTTTATTTCTAGAAGTGTGGTTTATAAAGAAATATATCTAGGCCGGGCACGGTGGCTCATGCCTGTAATCCCAGCACTTTGGGAGGCTGAGGTGGGCAGATCACAAAGTCAATAGATCAAGACCATCCTGGCCAACATGGTGAAACCCTGTCTCTACTACAAATACAAAAATTAGCCAGGCTGGTGTTGCATGCCTATAGTCCCAGCTACTTGGGTGGCTGAGGCAGAACAATCACTTGAACGTGGGAAATGTAGGTTGCAGTGAGCTGAGATCATGCCACCGCACTCCAGCTTGGCAACAAAGCGAGACTCTGTCTCAAAAAAAAAAAAAGAAAAGAAAAGAAATACATCTGACCAGTATAAATCATGATATGGAAATGATTGCCTTTATTAAATATATCTATAGCATTTCATGTTTACAAGAGTTTTTTGATCTGTTTAGGTGAGCATAGATATTTTCATCTTACTCCTGAAGATTAAAGATCACATTGCTAGAATTCACCCACTAAACTGATGACCAAAATAGTTAGAAGTCATATGGGGACACCTATTACAGTGTTGGCCCATTTTTCTTTTAATGGGGCAAAAGGTAGAGAAATTTGGACAATGAACCAATTTCCATTTATTTAATGATTGTACATATATAACATGATGGTTAATTTTGTGTCAACTTGACTGGGCTGTGGAGTACCCAGGCATTAGGTCAAACATAATTCTGGGGGTGTGTGTAAGGGTGTTTTTGGATGAGATTAACATATGAATGCACAGATTGAGTCAAGCAGATTGCTTCCCTAATGCCTGTGGTCCTCATCCAATGAGTTGAAGGCCTGAATAGAGCAAAAGGCTGATTCTCTGTGAGAGGGAACTCCTCCTGCCTGAGACTGAGCTGAGACTTTGTCTTTTTCTACCTTTGGAGGCAAACTGGAGCATCAGTTCTTCTTAGACCTTGAACTTGGCACCTTTTGGACTGAAACTTACACTATCATCTCTCCTGGTTCTCAGGTCTTTGGACTTGGACTGGAACAATACTGTCAAGCTCTCCTTGGCCTCCAGCTAACTGACTACAGATCCTAGGGACTTCTCAGCCTCCGTAACTGTGTGAACCAATTCCTTCTCATAAATATCTCTCTCTCTCTCTCTCTCTCTCTCTCTCTCTCTCTCCCCCTCTCTCTCTCTTCGTCCCTGTCTTCTCTCTCTGTCCCTGCACTCCCACCACCACCAGCACCACACACACGCACACACACACACCCTATTGATTCTATTTCTCTGAAGAACCCTGAATTATACATATGAATTGAATTATTCAGGCCAAATCCTTCCCTAATTCTTATTTTACATCAGTACTAGTATTTCTGGCAAAAACTACTCACTAAAATAGCATGTGTACTAGAAGATTAATTAGTCATCAGTTATTGAGGACTGAGCACCCCTGTGCCGGAGACTGCACTAGAAGAGTAAGGACAAACACAGGATCAAAAGGCCCAGGCCCCCCTCAAGCAACAGTGCACTTAGAAAGTGACAACATGTACCCATAAAACATCCTGAGAAACCAGTGTAACCAAAATGTGAGACAATATTCAGGTCAAATTTCGATAAATAAATCCAACTGCAGCGTTACAAAGAAAACGGTTTCTTAGCCGCAATCAACAGTCACCCAGTTTCAAATAATATTTAGCCAAGCCAAATATCAGTATAACAAACAAGGAGCATTCTTTAGACTTTGCTGTGAACGTAGGTGATTGTATAAGCTGGGCAAATATGTGCTAAAGCAGTGGCTCTCAAAATGTGTCTCTAGACCATCAACATTAGCATCACCTAGGAGCTTGTTAGAAGTAGGTATCCCAGCCCCTCTCCAGACCTGCAAAATCAGAAACTCTGGGGGTAGAGCCCAACATTTTGTGTTTCTGCAACTTCTCCATAGGATTCTGCTACATGTGACAGAGGCACCTGCTTCAGGTGGAGTGAGATCATGAATGTTTTCTGAAGGAAAACAATCTTGAGTTAGACTTGAAATAGAAGACTTGCCTGATTTTAATCTCTTGATAAACGGCTCTATAAACAAAACCAGAAAGACAGATTAAATATTTAGCTTTTCATGTAAGTTTAGACTCTGTCTGGATGCTAAACCATGTCATGCAACTACTTTGCCCAGCCTATTTTCTACTGATATTCAAACCTAAAATACACATTCCCCAGCCAGGCAGCCAGCCAGCCAGCCAACCATCTTTAAAAAATTCATAATCACACCCAAAACACTCGAGACTTCACATATTATCACTCAAGATGAAGTGTATAGTATTTCCCTCCACTGGCAATTGTTGTTTCTTTACTTTGTTCATTTTCTAAACCCTGTCTTTAGTTTGAAGGTGAAATTTGTAGAAAATTTACAAACCATAAAGAGGCTAAAATTAATGAGGACATAAAGATTACTAATTTTTAGTAGGCTTTTTAAAAAAAATTTTCTTATTTCTTGCTACAGAATATAGTTTTAACACAAACATGTGGCACCTTTTCATGAGTGCCATTTCAAAATACTTTTAGTGTTGTACTCCCACCTTGTGGAGAAAATTAGAAATTCACTCTTTCTGAACACCAGAGGCTGACAATGCACAGCAAAGGCTATTTATATCCAGTGTCAAGTTTAAATAAATATTGACAAATTCTGCCTATCATTTCATTGATTTTTCTATATCATTCAAATTCAGATATTTTTGAAATATCTGATGGTTGGTAGTTTGTTCTCTTTCATTCAGGCGTATAGTACTATCTAGAGGCAGACAAATAGTGGAAGTAATCTGCACATTTTTCTCTAACAACATTAAATTGTTTACTTTCTTAGGGTGCCTGAAAATAGAAATTAAATACATCAAGATAATGCAATTATTGCTGTTGAATATAGAGTCCTTAATAACTACACAGAAGGATTTGTGGTTGGTCTTTCATCATTTATTTTCTACATACTGCGCTAGTCCACAGAATAAATATCACTGTTTTTAAAAAGCCCAGTTTAATCAAAATTTCATTATAAACCTACAACTTGCAGCCCTAGAGTTGACTTATCACTGGTGCCAGATTAAGTGTCACCACAGCAATAAATTTAAGTCATTCATCAGAATGTACTTCGAGTTGAATTACTAGGGCTCATGAATGTAATGCTGCTACTATTTGAATGCACCCCCAGAGTTCATGTGTTGGAAATGTAATCTCCACTGCAACCATGTTTATAGGTGAGACCTTTAAGAGGTCATTAGGTCATGAGGACTCTGCCCTCATGAGTGGACAAATATCATTATGGCAGGAGTGGGTTTGTTATAACAGCAAGTTTGCCCCACTCTTTCTCTCTCTCATGATCTTTTGCCCTCCTGCCTTCCACTGTGGGATGACACAGCACAAAGGCCCTTGCCAGATGTGAGCCCCTTGACCTTGGACTTCCAAGCCTCTGGAACTGTAAAAAATAAATCTCTATTCTTTGTAAATACTGAGTCTCGAGTATTCTGTTTATAGCAGTACAAAACAGGCTAAGACAGGTGTCAAGGTCAAAAACTCGACAATATAAAATGCTCCAATGGAAAAAAGTAGGAGAGATGATAATTTCAACAGCTAATTTGGCATTCATCATATGTCAAGCTTCCACTCCTATGTCCTCTGTAACGTCCATGTGATCATCTCAGAACATCGATGATTTATATGAGTCAAATGATGCCACACTATGTAGGGGTCTGAACACAAAATGGGTCTACCTCAATCCAGGCAGAAAATGAAAAAACAACAATGGGCTTAAATTTCAAGGAATTCCAGCTTCCTCTGTCTTTGAGGTTATTAGGCAATGACATTTATTAAGTCTTTGCTATATTCAGGATGCCAACCTAATGAGATAGCTTGTCCTCCAAGGCTGAGCTCAAATGCCAGTGTGTCTCTAAAGCCAGATAGAATTAATTTTTTCTCTCCTCAGTGATACAGTGACATTTTATTGCTACAACTAGGAATGGACTTCACGTTATTTTGTAACTACTGTGTGCCCATAAGTTCTGTCTTCTCCACTAAGTTCTGAGTTCTTTCAGGAGAAGAACCACATCTTAATGATTTAGAATCTCCAACATCCAGCATGGCATCTGGGCACATAGAAGATGCTCAGGGAACGTTTGCTAAATGCATTGAATAAATTAGGCTGAATGGTATGATATAAAGGTGCTGAAAGCATAATCACTGCCTTCAGTTCATTTATGGCTTATTTGTAAATGCTCCTGGGTCAATTTGTCCCTTCTTCTTATACCCTGGTATATATTAGTTTAGCCTTTTGTAGAATTGTAAAAGCCCAAGAACATGGAAGATGTCCTCTGGGTTTAAATGGATCTAACAGAGGGTGCTCTGTTGGCTAAATGACCTCTTCATCAACTTTTTCAGTGGCTCCTTGCACAGGCTCTTCCCTAAAGGCACAGAATTTGTTGTGCAGCCAAATGAAACTTGGCCACTTTTCTTGCTTCATGTTATTTTCCTCTCTCCACGGTAGCTTGGAAATGCCCCCAAGGTAAGGTACTACATGGGAAGAATTAGGAAGTGGTCAATGTCCTGTGTTTTGTAAGGATACGAAGTTCCCTGTTGTTCAATAGTATTTTCCCCATGATTGTGGTCACTAAGAATCCCACCAAAAGGATTGATTTCGTTGTTTTATGACTCACCCTAACCCCCTTCAAAGGAAATGTCCCTTTGAAAGGGGGGCAACCCACACAGTTCCTAACACCTTGATATATGTTTATGAGACTACCTCCCATTTGCTCTAGTAAGAATTGGGGGAGAAAGCACAAAGATTCTGGACACTTAATAAGGGTAGCGAGGTGATGTGGGAGGAGGATGAACAGAAATGCTCTGACAGTGAGGCAAGGAAGGCCTGCCATCCTAGAGCCCTGTACTCCTGCGGCTGCTCAGGGACCCTTCCAGGTGGCCTTCCTGTACATTCTGTGCTTTCTGCTGTGCACCCAGTTTCTCACTGCTATGCCCTCTCTTCAGAGAGATAGTGTGAGAAAGACATTCTTCATACTATATGAACCGTCAGAATCTTCTTTCCCTCCCAAGTTATGTATGATAGCCTACATGGTGTGGACATGTTCTGGTTAAACCAAAGGTGGCCTGAGCTTAGCCTGCATGCCAAAGTGGTCATTTCCAACAAGAAGAACGAGAAGCCCTTATCACATAGCCTTGAAGAAGAGTAGCGTCGTGTTCCCACAAAGATAGCCAGTCAAGAGCATGCATTCCCAGGGCAGGATGAAGAGGGATGGACTCACACTGTCATGCCTCCTCCAAAATTCACACAGCAGGCATCCAGCAGCTTACACAGGACACTGGAAGGACACTATACCCTGCAAATTAGCAGATTGTAATTCTGTACTTTAAACTTGCTCTGAGCAGAGTGTAAATAAAGGCTAACTACTCTCTGAGATAAATGGCATTGATCCTAAAGCAAACAAGGTAGGCACTCTCTTTCAGATAAGGGGTGCCAAAAACAGCCTAGGAGGGCCAGGCACAGTGGCTCACGCCTGTAATCCCAGCACTCTGAAAGGCTGAATAGGGAGGATTGTTTGAGGCCAACAGTTCCAGACCAGCCTGGGCAAAATAGTAAGATACCCATCTCTACAAAAAATAAAAAGGTACCTGGGCATGGTGACATATGCCTGTAATCCCAGCTACCCAGAAGGCTGAGGTTGGGGGATTGCTTGAGCCCAGGAATTTGAGTCTGCAGTGAGTGTGATTGTGCCACTGTACTTCTGCCTGGGTGACAGAATGAGACCCTGTCTCTAAAAGGAAACAAATTTCATTTAATTTAAAACATCCTAAAACACACTGAAGAGGAGCCAACCTCATCAGATCACCAAATCAGAAACAAAGAGTTAAAATTCAATAAACATTTCTTGATGTTATTGTCGTCATTGTTATCGTTACTGTTTGGGCAACCAAGATTGCTGCCTTCTTGGGATTCCTTTTTGGGAGAATTACTTCTCCACCTCTCCATGCAGCCTTAGTCAAACTGTACCTTACCCTAACCAGAGATTTGGCACCAAGTCATGGAATGGAGTTCTCTTTACCTGGACTTTGTACACAGAGGGAAGTGATACAAAGATCGTTTTCAAAAAAATTAAGTTTATGGCATGTTTGTTCCAGGACCAGAGCCTATAAAATATGGTCAGATAATTTCATTTCCACTGCCTAGACATCTGCCAAGCTGTTCTGGTTTCTGTTCTTGTTCTGTGATAGCATGGAAGCCAATACATTTCTAAGCATATCCATTCTATAGTGAATACCTCCAGTACATTTTCTTTTTGGTAGCACTAACAAGAATTAGCTTAGGTTACCTATAACTAAAGAATCCTGGTTGGTACACTTTATAGCCTTTAGAGATTATGGCAGATCAACAGATGATTGATGATAGACAGATAGATAGATAGATAGACAGACAAACACATGCATACACATACACATATATGAAAACTATATTTGAATACCTATACCAGCTATATCTTAGCTGGTTGACTGAAGATGTCCATGGTAGGCAAAACCAGGTAAGCCAGACACAATACGAAGCACAAGTTATTTCTGTCTACATATGCCATGTGCTACATTTTAATTTTATCAGCTTACTTCCAGCCTCTCATTGTGGATGGTCCCTGAGTGACCAAGGAGAGGCAAAGCAAAGATAAAATGTTGAACACAACTCTCTTGATCTCATCACATGGGCCTATTGAACTGAGAATTCTATTCCAATCTCTTGAAAGGGAAAAAAAGGCTAAATTTTAGATCAAGGAAAGGAATCAATAGACACCAAACCTTTAGTCCATCTCATTTCCAACTCTCCCAGTCCCAAATAAGGTAATTCTTATAGTTGGGACATTCCACCCTCAGGATACATGTGGCTAGCAGCAAGTTCACATTAAAGGGATTTTTCTTGGACTTCCCTGGGCTGAGTCACCACCACTAAGGATCCCATACAAGAGCTGAAGAGGCCAGTCAGCTTCTCTGAATGGCAGAAACACAGCAGTGCCAGGTTGGGACTCAAGCTCAGTTTTCTGGTCCATCTTCCCCAAAAGGCAGAATTCATTTCAATTGGCTTATTTAACCATAAGCTTGACTCAGAAAAATGGGAGCTTAACATTATGAGGTTAATACTTAATTTTGTTTAAGAGAATTAACTTTATTAAGACAAAGAATAAAAACTTTTTTCAGCCACACTTTGCTGACTTGTGCGTTTTGATACCTTTTTTAAAATCGCTGCATTTGTAGTTTTAAACACTTGCTCCTTTTTCTGAATGTCTAAAAATGAGATCAACACAAACACGGTTTGCTCCAACCAAGATTTAAGGCACCTCTAAAAAAATCCAAACAATAGAATAAGGTAAACGTTCATCTGCTAGGGCTAAATGTTACTCTGCTAACACAAAATACCATAGTGCAGGTGGATTAAATAACAGAAATTTATCTTCACACAGTTCTGGAGGCTGAAAGACCAGGATCAAAGTGCCATTGGGATTGGTTTCCAGTGAGGACTCTCTTCCTAGCTTATAGATGGCTGCTTCCTACTGTGTCCTCACCTGGCTTCTTCTCTACATGGAAGGAGAGAACTCTCTTGGTGTCTCTTCCTCTTCTTATTATGTCACCAGTTCTATCAGATAAGGGCCCCACCCTTCTGACCTCATTTAATCTTAATTGCCTCCCTAAAGCCCCTATACTCAAATACAGTTTACACTGAAAGGTTAGGGTTTCAACGTATGAATTTGGGGGAACGTAATTTAGTCCATAACAGGCTGCTATAATTACATACCACAGACTGGGGGGCTCAAACCAGAGAAATTTATTTTCTCACAATTTCGGAGGCTATAAGTCTAAGATCAAGGTGCCATTGGGGTGCCTCCAGTGAGGCCTCTCTTTCTGCCTTACAGATGGCTGCCTTCTCCCTGTGTCTTCACATGGTCTTTTTTTCTGTGTCTCTGACTCCTAATCTCTTCTTCTTATAAAACACCAGTCATGTTGGGTTTGAGCCCACCCTAATGGGCTCACTTTAACTTCATTACCTCTTTAAAGATCCTATCTCCAAATAAAGTCACATTCTGAAGCACTAGGGGTTATGACTTTGACATATGAACCTCAAAGGGATACAATTCAGCACATAATGGTAAAACATTAAGAAAGAAATTGGGCAAACAATAAGGATAGGAGAGATGTTGAGATAATAAAGGGTGATGATATACTTACTAAGCTTGGATTACCGCTCTGGCTCGGAGGCTCATAGCTGCCAATGCAGACAAGGGAATATGGCTGGTTACCTTGAGTATGAATTTAAACAATGATCTTCCAGAGGCAGGATGCTTTTTTGCCTACCAAAAATAGTGACTAATTGTAAGAGACTTCAGCCAGAGAGGAAAAACAAAGAGCACTACGACAGCCGAGTGAGAAATGTATTCTGATGTAATCATTGTCTTATGTATTCCTCACATTAATGTGAGCAATCACCTATGCTTCGAGATTTTGGGGAGGCAAATAGTGTCCCCAAAGAAATTAATATTTTGTAAGTAACATGTGGTATAGTTATATATGTTTACACAGAGAACTTTCAAAAACTATCTTCTGTGGTCACTTTAAACACTTTCCTAAAATTAACTGCAGTTTTAATTTCTCAATCAAATCACAAAAGTCATAAAGAATTCTTAGCTCTAGATGAGCTCTTCACAGTCTTCAACCCGCCTCCATGACCATTCCAGCTCAATGGGCCAAAAATGATGCATGTTCAGGTGCCAGAGCACAAAATATAACAAGACCCCATGTCCCCATGTCCTGCAGCCCACACAGATTACCTTTAAGGGGAAACTAGTTATTTGGAAGTGAGTAGACAGGAAGCTAGAGTCCCAGAGGAATGGTAGAGGCTGGGGATATCTCAATCGCCCTTCTAGTCTCATTCACAGATCAAGTCTGTCCTCCAAACTAAAGAGAATTGCCTAGTTAGCCTTCTTTTCCATCACAAACAAGGAGTCTAGTGTAGTGATAAAAGTGCATGAACTCGGGAGATCCTCTGCCTGGGTTTGAATCCCTGAATCAGCATTTATTCAATGTGTGACCTTGGGAAGGTTGTTAAGCTCTCTGTAACTTGGATTTCTCATCTGCTGGAAGTGGGGGGACAATTACACCTGTTGAGGGGGTTTGATACATGGATTTGAAAAGGGGAGGGCCAGTGGGAGGGGGAGGTGGGGAGGGACAGCCTGGGGAGAAATGCCAAATGTGGGTGAAGGGGAGAAGAAAAGCAAAGCACACTGCCATGTGTGTACCTACGCAACTGTCTTGCATGCTCTGCTCATGTACCCCAAAACCTATAATCCAATAAAAAATTAAAAAAAAAAAAAAAAAAAAAAAAAAAAAATTACTTAACTATGTAAAGTATTTACAAAAGTGCCCAGCACATACTAAATGTGATTGTTATTAAATAGTTCTTTACCATCTGAAAATTACCATTTGGAATAAATAAGTTTCTATGAAATTATTTGACTAGAAATGATAGTTGGAGTTAGAACAGTTTCAGCCACATTTTGCATATTCACAAACCTCAAAATGCATTCTATATTGTGGGCACGGTTCATTTATTCAGATATGTAATGAGGATCTCATTGTGTTTGTAAAGAGACATGAAATCCTTTATCAAAGTTTCATAATGAGACACCTCTGCGTTTAAAACCACAGAAGGGAATTCTCACCTTTCTGAGCTGTTGTAATCCCTTGCAACTCAGAATTTTTCTATCTGCTTTTCCTCCAGGTCCAGGCTTGACACTTTTTTCTCCAACTGAGTATCTTTATTTAAGATTACTTTCCACAGATGTGTTTGTGTTCACTTTTCTCAGTTGAATCTTGTGATTTTTTTTTATTATTTTTTCTCAAATCTCTGAGCTCCACTAAGCTTTTGTAAACGTGCAGTCTGTGGTGTCCTCATCACCATCCTTTGGAGCTATGTGGTAAGCCCTACTGGCACGCCTTCTGCCAGGTCATTCAAGATCCTTTTAACATTTACATCCAAGGCTTTTCTGAGTCTTTTTCTCGCATCCCATATGTGTTTCACTAGAAAATGTCACTGGCCGGCTGGTTCTATCCTTTTTCATTATCGTTCATTCTCTCACTCATCTCCCCTTTTCTGTGTTCCTCCAAGAATTAAGAGAAACTTTGTTACTGAAAGCCCACAGCTAAACTGGGGTTCCAGCACCAGGACAGTTAGCAGGCCTGCCCTAATGGGAAACAGAGGGAAGCTCCATGAGGGTGTTTGCAGTGGGTCTTTCAGGCTGATGGCCTAGTGCCTGGTAGTCTGACCAGTGCCCAAAAGTGA